GCCTCCCCCCCGCCCCTACTCTGCAGAGGGCCTGTCCCCAGAGTTGTTTCAGTCTGCTTTGTGTTGCTGTGGTAAGCTCCATGACAGAAGCAACTTGAAGAGGAAAGGGTCTGACAGCTTACAGCTTCATGAAGGGCCGTCAGGTCAGGAACTAAAGAAAAGAACCTGGAGGCAGGAACTGAAACAGAGACCGTGGAAGAATGCTGCTTCCTGGCTTGCCCCCCATGGCTCGCTTAGCTTGCTTTCTTATGCCACCCAGCCCGGAGGTGGCACCACCCACAGTGAGCCCGGCCCTTCCACATCAATCATCAATTAAGAATATGCGCGCCCCCCCCATGTGCCTACAGGCCAGTCTGAAGGAGGCAATTTCTCAGTTGAGGGTCCCTCTTCCCAGAGGACTCTAGCTTGTGTCAAGTTGGCACAAAAAACAACCAATGCAAGGACCTCCATGGTGCAGATAATTGAATTGGCTCAGAGGGTGAGGAGCATGCCCAGGACCGTACAGCCTATAAAGGAACTCACCTAGATTGGAACTGACTTAGAGCCACCAATCAGCAGCTTCCCCATCAGGCCACATGATCATTGGTGGCAAGGACTGTCTATCAGGAGGGCTTGCATGGAGTGGATGCCCAGGCAATAACATTCCCTCTGTACGGTACTCGCACTAACACATGATAGACACCTGCAGCGGGACTCAATGGACTTCTGAGCTATGGCTTCTGGAAGAGACCTTTTATTCCACCACCGCTTATTCAGTGCCTACAAAGAGCCAGACACTGAAAGCCCAGGAAGTAAATGCATATAAGGACCCCCAGTACACTCAGTGACAGATAGACAGTGCATGTATAAATAAATAGCGATAAGACCAGCAAAGGGAACTGGGAAGGTGGCTCAGTAGGTAAAGTTCTGGATACAGAAGCATAAGGATTTGAGTTCAGTCCTCAGAAGATAAGAAGCTGGGCATGGCCGTGTGCACCTGTAATCCCAGCCCTAAGGAAGACCGGAGGGTCCCAGGCTTCACTGTCCAGCCCAATCGTCTAGCCGAATCAGTGAGCTGCAGAGTCTGTGAGAGACCTTGTCTCCAAAAACAAGGTAGATAGGGCTGCAGAGATGGCTCAGCAGTTAAGATCAATGGCTTCTTCCAGAGAAATTGGGTTCAGTTCCCAGCACCAACATAGAGGCTCCCAACCTGTGACCCCAGTTCCAGGGGATTTGATGCCCTCTTCTGGCCTCCACGGGCACTGCATAGACATGGTGTACATACACACACACACACACACACACACACACACACACACACACGAATAGCAAATTTTAAACAGGAGAGAGTGACAAAGACACCTGTCAGGCCTAACCCCCCATATGCATGTACAAGTGTTGCAGAGAGTGAGTGACTGAGCCCTGGCTGCTGAGGTGCCCAGGGTTTACAAATGCCAGGAGGAGGAGTGTATTTTACATTGACAGTGGCCAAAAGCCTATGGCTCTGGCTTCAGTGTGAGGAGTGGAGGCAGGGAGGCCACCCTGGTCTTCGAGGGAACAGATGGCAGTTGCCATGGGCTAGGAGAGTAGATGGACTTGGCTGTGTGTCAGGGACACTGGGGAAAGAAAGGAACTGGCAGGGGTGGGGGGGGAGGTGGTTCTTGTCTGGGACTCCGCTGTTGAGCTGTGGTGAGGATTGCATTGCGTCTCAAACCATTCAGGTGAGACTTCGTAGACCCTCCCCTCCCCCAGGCGAGGAGGGGCTGAGCTGGATCAAAAGGAGGGGGGCTCTTCTCAGCAGCCACCCCAAGAACAAGCAGGGCTGCTGCGCCCTACTCAGCATTATTGTCCATGTAATGGGTGTGTCGGCTTGTCTCTCCTGTGTCACTCACTCACCAGCTGTCCGTTTTCCAGCGGTCAGGGTGAGCCCCTGCCATTCAAGGCAGCCTTCCGTCATCTCCGATGCTTCTGCTGCTGAAGGTGACCGGTCATCGACACCGAGCGACATCAACTCCCCAAGACACCGGACACACTCCCTCTGCAACGTAAGGCCAGCAGCAGCAGGGCCTGGGCGTTTGGGCCCTGCCCAGAAATGGCGGGGCCATGGGGTGGGATAAAGATGTGCCCGCTCTTTCCTCTCGTCCACCCAGGGAACGCTGTGGCGAAGGCATTTCCCGTTCTGTTCTTTCCTTTTGCAAGAAGCAGTGGATGTGGGGAGAGAAAGAAATGAGGCCTGTTTCCTCCTGTTTCCGGGAGGGCGAGGAGGAGGGTCTGCGAAGCCTGGAACCCCGCCCGGTGCACCCCATCTTGGGCCCTGCCTGGGACCTTGGGTCTGACTACAGGACTACCTGTCCCCTGTGGCACCCACTCTCATCTTTCACCTTGGAATGAAACAGATTGCTGTGTTTTAATTTTGAGATTCCAGTAGTTGGGGACGTGTTTGGCCTCTGCAGAGAGGGCCTGTGAATTTGTCTTTCTTTTTTAGTCAATTTTTTTTAAGTATGTACTGATACCAGCAGCTAAAAGGAATGAGTCCTCCAGAGGGTTCTGTCTTAGTTCACTTTTCACTTACTGTAACCAAGTGACTGAGGCTGGGGGATGACAGAAATGATTCCTGTTAGGCTCACTCGTAAAGGTCCCGTTACTTCCCACATCAACACCCTGGGGTCCAGGCTTCCGATACAGCAAACCTGTGGAAGACACTCTGAAACCATAGCCACGCCCCTGCAGGCTCCCAAGCTGGTGGCCCCAGCGTCAGTGGACGGCTGAAAACCATGTCAGCCTCCAAGAGGAATGGAAGGTCAGAGGTGGGGACCACTTCGAATTTTTGTCCCATCAACATAATTGATAACCCAGAGGGCTTCCCTGCCATGTCCTAATGACAGAGATGCCACACTGGAGTATCTTCAGATGCTTAGGAGGCTCGCTCTTTCTTTCTTTTTTCTTTCTTTCTCTCTCTCTTATTATTTATTTTTATTTTAGTATGCATGAGTGTTCTGCCTGCATGTGTATGTCAGTGCATCACGTGTGTGCATGGTGCCCATGGAGGCCGGGAGAAGGCATCAGATTCCCCTGGAACTGGAGTTGCAGGTGGTTGTGAGCCACCATGTGGGTGCCAGGAACTGAGCCCAGATCTCTGCAAGAGTAGCACATGGCTCTTAACCACTGAGTCATCTTACCTGCCTGGGGAGGGATTTTCAGAAACTCAGGTTAGTACTGCTTTATTAACCAACAGAACTTGCTGACTGTGTGATTATTTGTTTAGGACACTCAGGAGCGGGACGTGCCATGAAAACCCCTAATAAGCACATACATAAGGTTATGAAAAACAGTGACTTATCCTCAGTAAGCATGAAAAATGCTTATTATAAATGTAGCTACGAGGGCTGGAGAGATGGCTCAGTGGTTAAGAGCACGGCCTGCTTCTGCAGAGGACCGGGGTTCAATTCCCAGCACCCACATGGCAGCTCACAACTGTCTGTTACTTCAGCTTCAGGGGATCTGACACCTTCACACCAATACACATAAAATAAAGTTAAATAAATAATAAATAAATAAATAAATAAATAAATAAATCTTTTTTAAAAAAATAAAATAAATGTAGCTACGATTACAAGGGCTGGGGAGCTGGCTCAGTTGTTGAGGTGTTTGCAGTGCAAACACAGCTGAGTCGGGTCCCCAGAATCCACATAAAGAGGCCAGGCACAGTGGTGTGCACTTGCAATCCCAACAATGAGGAGATAGAGACAGGGGATCCCTGGCCAGCCGGCCTTGTTTAATCAGTCAGCTCAGGCCAGTGAAAGTCCTCATCTCAGAATACAGTGGAATGACATGGCCCCTGAGGAATGACACTAAAGTTTGTCTCTGGGTACACACACACACACACACACACACACACACACACACTTGATAAGACTAAACTTGAAAGAGGCATTCCAGCCTTCTTGGGTAGTCATGGGATTACTGGCCCAGAAGCTATACAGTGCCCCATGGCAGGTCTAGGGTCCCTTCTTTTCCGGAGGCCATGACAAAGCAGTGTGACTTCTCTTGTCCACAGTCTTGGGGATGACAGACCAAAGAGAGTAAGGAGAACCACTCCAAGGTCTCTATCATCCATTTTTCAATTGCAAGGACCATAGTGGGCAGGGCCCTACCCTACTATGCAGGTGGAGATTCTCAGTCTTAAGCAGACACGCTTTGACAGACACGCTCACCCCCAACCCTTAGGAGTACCTTCCTAAGGGCCATGCTGGCCTCCTGTTGACCTCAGGGGCAGAAATGCTGCTGACACATCCACCCACAGGAAGACTCCCAGCTCCCAGAGCTGCATTTGACACAAGCCCACCCCTTCCCAGCCTCAGCACACACCAGCACACACACACCCACACACACACACACACACACACACACACACACACACACAAGACAGTGCTTCACAGAGGAACAGAATGGGTTTTGTTTGCAAACCTTAGTCTGGACCACAGGGTGAACTGCCATTTGGCATTTCTTTCCAAACTGCCTTTATTCCCCATCTCAACCATTGTGCACATGGGTAAACTAAAAAACCAGAAAATGGCTCCAGGTAGCCCTCCGTCCTCAGGGATCTGACCTTGGACCAACAAGATCAACATAAACTGAACCAAAGAACAGCTCACTGTAATCACCAGTAATCATTACATTACTGGTCTAATCACTCTGACCAGTAATTAGAGCAGCAATGAGGATTTGGTACCGGGAAACTGGATGTTTAGAGACATTGGTCTGTGTTTCTTTCTTCATGGGCAATTCCATGCCTGCAATTCCATAAACAACCATTAGAAGTCTCACTAGCAATGCCTTTTGTAATCTTTTCTACTCCCAAATGGGGCAGATGTGATTCTCGGATGTAGTAAAAACTTTTGCACGCTGACAGGCTATTAAGGGTCCCTCCCCTACCCATTTGGAACACGGTTGGCAATCCATGAAAATGTCCTACCTACCCACAGGCTCTCTCATGTTCCCAAGAAAGAATTTGAAGAGTCCAGACCTGTGTGAGCAGGTTCCCAGGCAGTCAGGACCCAGTGTATTCTTGCTGTGGAATCCCGCCTAGAAAAAGCAGAGCCGGGAGAAATCAGACACCCCAGATTTGAGTCCCAACTCTACTTGCTATTAGCTCCATAAGATTGTTGGGCCCCTGTTTATGCCTAAACCCTACTAACAGTTCCTGGCAGCCCCCTCCACAAAATAAGAGAGTTGCTGTGTTGGTTTCAGGGTGTCTTAGTGACCGCGTGGTCTCCTGAGTCAACTGTTTAATTTGTTGTTATGCTTTTTTGTTCTTTTCCTTTTCAATGAGTAGAATCCAGGGCTTGCTAGGCCAGCATCTACCACTGATCTCAACTCCTTCCCCATTAGGATGCTTTTTGTTGTTGTTGTTAAAAGTTGATGTCTTTATTTGAAACAAAAAACAAACAAAAAACCTCCCATCTGAACACCTGGACCAGTTAAGGCAGGAACTTAAACCTCAAAGGATTAAGGGTTAAAAGGCCAGAGCAGGCAGGAGAGCTCCTCAGGTCCCCTGACTATGAACCCCGGGTCCCATCAGTCAGCTGTGTGGAAGTGCCACAGGGTAAGGGTCCCCACTGTAGAGGCAGGGCAGCCCTGGAGGAGTCGGTGGCTTCCTTCCAGGCCTCATAGGCCACCTGTGCTCTCTTGTGTCATGTGTCTGCTGCTTCATCATCTTCTCTTTTGGCTACAGGGCGACAGTCCCGGCCCGGTTCAGAAGAGCCTGCACAGTCCTATTGTACAGGTGAGTGTGGCTTCCCTGGCTACCAGCATCCTCCCTCCACCCAGCCTGACCCTCTTCTGTAGACGGATTTTCCTTTGGGCCTCCAGCTCACAAATAATGACACAGAGACTAATTATTAATTATGAAAGCTCTGCCTTAGCTTAGGCTTCTTCCTAAGTAGTTCTTTTTTTTTTAAAGATTTATTTATCTATTATGTATACAGTGTTCTGCCTACATGTATATCTGCAGATCAGAGAGGGCACCAGATCTCGTTACAGATGGTTGTGAGCCACCATGTGGTTGCTGGGAATTGAACTCAGGACCTCTGGAAGAGCAGGCAGTGCTCTTATCCTCTGAGCCATCTCTCCAGCCCCACTAAGTAGTTCTTATAACTTAAATTAACCCATATTTTATAATCGACTTTCTTTTACTCGGCTCAGTTACCTTTACTCTGTACTGCCCATTCTACTTCCTCCGAATCTGACTGGCGACCCTGCCTTTCTTCCTCTGAGTCCTCTCTGTCTCCAGAAGTCCTGCCTAACCTCCTCCTGCCCAGCTGGCCATTGAGCTCTTTATTAAACCAGTCACGGTGGCATAATCACACTGTAAAGGAATATTCCCCAACACTCTTCCAGCCTCGTTGCTCTGAGCCTTCAGTCACCCTGATGCCAGTTATGAATTCAAGAGATAGAGAGGAATGGAACCCCTCTTTGAGTCACACGTGTGCTGGCACGTGAACCACAGGCAGTGGACACTTGGGGCCCCTGGTTGCTGCCAGGTCTACCCCTTTTTTGTCATCAGTGTAAGAAAGGCGCACGGGGACGAACTTGAGGGCAGCACCGCTCATGTTATGGTGTTTTCCATTTTCTGGCTCTGAGCCATCCATCTGCTTAGGGTTCCCCTAGAGAAGACTACATGCATCCTGAATGCAAACTCCTAGACCCTAACCCAGTAGGGATTCCAGCTCAGATTGGGAGCAGAGGCTGCGTTCCAAGACACTCTAGTTTTCCTTGAGCCTTGCATCTAGTTTATGCCCCACCGTTTCTGTAGATAATACCAATAATAATAATAATAATAATAATAATAATAATAATAATAATACCACCCAAGACACTCTAGTTTTCCTTGAGCCTTGCATCTAGTTTATGCCCCACCCTTTCTGTAGATAATACCAATAATAATAATAATAATAATAATAATAGTACCATCCAAGACACTCTAGTTTTCCTTGAGCCTTGCATCTAGTTTATGCCCCACCGTTTCTGTAGATAATACCAATAATAATAATAATAATAATAATAATAATAATAATAATACCACATGTCATTGCATAAAGCATTTGGCCATTTGTGAAGCTCTCTGCAGCTGCTACCCCAAGCCCCCAGCTACAAGGTCATTGTCAGAGCTCCTAGGCTGGCCCTGTTCCGTACTTAGCATGTGTCACTGCGTCAGCTCTACACACACAGTGGCCACAGGCAGTGGTCAAGTTCATGGGTGTGTTCCTACAGGCCCTTAAGTCTTCGAAGTGAACTTAAGGGATAGTAATAGCCAAAGCAACTGGAGCAACTCCTAGCCACTGCATGGCAGTCAAGGCAGGATCCATCCTAAGTGTCTTTGCCTTACATCAGCGATGCACGACGGACGTCTTGAGTGGATTCTCTTATGTCTGTGAGAGGCTTTGAAACTAGCCTGGGTTTGCTCAGAGGACAAGGGACAGAACCCTAGGATTTCCGCCCCAGACCCCAGCTTCCATCCCTCACTGTGACCTGGACCATGACTTAGGAAAACCTCCTCCCTGCCCTTCCATCCACCTCTATCCTTCTCACCAGGCTAAGATTACTTCTGTTCTCCCTCTGCCTCAGTCACTAGAGGATCTTGAAGACCAAAAACGGAAAAAGAAGAAAGAGAAGATGGGATTCGGCTCCATTTCTCGAGTCTTCGCCAGAGGGAAGCAACGGAAGTCCCTCGACCCGGGCCTCTTTGATGGTACCGCCCCTGATTATTACATAGAGGAAGACGCGGACTGGTGATAACCCACCACCCTTCGCCCATTGTCCATGGGCGTGTCTGTGTGTGGATGAGCTGTGGAGCGTGCGAGTGTGTGTGCATGGGGCCGAGGGGGCCTGTGTGGGGTGCGTGTGCACGGCTGCACTCACCCACATGGGTGTGTGTAACCGAGTGCCTAGGACAGGCAGAAACACAAATGTGACCCCACCCCCCCTCTGCGTCGCCACCTCTGTAATCGATGTACATACCACAAAACCGTGTGTGACTCTTGTCAACTCTGTTGTCTCCGAGCGATACAGTTGTGTTTGTTTTTCTTGTTTGTTTTGTTTTTCAATGTGTTGGGGTTTTTTTTGTTTGTTTAATCCGTTGTATTTTCGTTTTTAATTTCCCCTTCTCCTTCCTCCTCCTTCTTATGAAACTTGAACACTTGAAGGACTGCTGTGTATTTGTAAATAACAAAAGTAGTGTGCACTTTGTGCTTGTAAAGTCCCTCGTCCAGCCGCTACTACAGCCCATGTCGCCAAAGATATGGTCTGTGCTCCATGTCCCCCCTCCTCCAGACCCCTCGGTGTGAACGTGTGGGACCAGACCCTGTTCTCGGGGTGCGCCCAAGTCACTTTAGCCACAAAAAAATCCACCCCGCCATCATTGTCAGGGTAAGGTCACTCTGCAGAGACTCATGAGCCCAACCAAGAAGTCTTGGCTGGGCTACAGTGTTTATAGGGGCTCTTTTTAATGGCCTGCCTGTTTTTAAATTGTGTTGCTGTTTCTTTCTTTATGGAACAAAAAGAGAGAAAGAAAACTGTTGCATTTAATTTATTTGCACAAATGCAGAAAACGTATTCTATCTAAATTATTACGTGAATATCGGAATGTATATTTTTCCACGGGGTGGGCGGGAGGCGGGCGTTTCTGCTGACTTGTCTATTCTGTGTTCATGCCGCTGCAGACACTGTGCAAGGTAGAATTAGGGTGGCTAGAACTGGGGACCTCAGATGGCCAGCTTGCTTATTCTCTTTTCTCTTTTCTGTCTCTCCCGGCTGCTGTCTCTGCATGAAAGGACTCCTACCTTCTGCTCTGGCCTTCCTCTCTATATATTCTCTCTATATATATTTATTTATCTGATATACAGACCGTGACTTCATTGAGCAGAGCACTAACAAACACAGTCCTCTTGGGCCTGTCTTTGGAGCCATGTTGATTGAGTCCAGGAAAGGATAGCCTGGGGCATATCCATAGGGTCTGACCGGACATCTGGGCCCGAGTCAGTTGGGTAAGAGGCCTCTGGTGGCACACATGCACACACGCATGCACGCCTCTCCATACTTAGTTTATTCCACACATGGGCCAGGCAGATGTCAACAGAGAAGATGCCCACCTTCTGGGAAGGGCTATTAGAGAGGATATGTAGCAGGAGAGCCCTCTGCCTTCTTTTTTCCAGGTGGCTTCTCCAGCCACACGTGGACTCTCTTGGAATTCCCCGAGCCCCGTCTATCAGCAGCTCAAGCAGGCTCATCCCATGAGGGTTGGTGGGTGCCTATGCCTGTTTGTCCCCACAGGGGTTCACCAGGGCATGGAGAACCCAGAGTTTCCAGCCAGTTCTGCCCCACCCCTAAACCTCAGTTTCCCCTTTCTACTGATCCTTAACCACTAACAGCTCGGTCCACACCTTCATGGCCACTGTGGCGCTCCCACTAACCACAGCGTTCTCACCTCTTAAAAAGAGAGTTTTCAATGCTGGATGGAGCATCTGGAATGTATAGGATCCTGTGCCCAAAGTCTCTAAAACAAGCCAAAAAAGCCCCCACCAGGTCCCTCTTCCCTCCCAACCTAGCCCAGAGGCTGAGAAAGAGCAGGCAGGGACGTCTAGTGAGCGTCCCTGTGTCCCTTTCAGCTCAGCTGATTGACCCGGCCTGATGGTGAGGGAGAGAGGCCAGAGCTGGCATCAGGGGGAGGTCGTAGGAAACATTTTCCCCCCATTGGATTTTTGTTTTATTTTCTTTTGTTCGCTTTTTATGACCCCACCCCCTTTTACTTACAAGAAGATAAGATTGCAACCACTCCTGATAATGACTTAGTCATTCCTTTTCATTTCAGTTTTTGGAAATTAGGAGATCATCCCAAGAGTTACTAAGAAATGATTTATTTGAGAGAACCACGTCAAATAGCGAATGAGTTATGGGTAACTATAGATGAGAAGGACCTTTTCCCGTGGGAGAGGTTTCTCGAAGGCATGGATGCAAAATATAAAATATTAAAAAAAAATCTAAATAAAGCTTATTTTAAAATATGATGGAATTCTATGTGACTTGATTGTTTCTACGTCCCTCCGAGGGGAGCCAGCCGTGTCCCACCAGGAGGCGCAGCTTGCATGACCATTACTACAGGAAATTTCTAGGCTGGGTGACAGGAGGAATCGAGGAAAGCTGGCTGGATGCTAAGTCCTCTGAAGGGAGCCAAGCCAGGGGGACTCCCAGGACATCTTGCCTGGGTCGCCTCTCCTCATTTGGAGGTGCCTTCCGCATCTGGGGCTGCCCACATCCTAATGCAGCTCCTCCAGGCCCAGGGTCCCCCATTCCCTGGAGCTCGGGGGCCCCACCAGCTTTCGTCCCTCCCCTCACACTCCATCTGGAGGTCAGAGCTGTGGCTGGGATTTTGAGGTATGCTGCCTTTCCTTGAACCTCAGCAGACCTCTTCATCCCAAGTTCCTACCTCGGGTGACCAGAGCGGCTTGAAAGAAACAGCAGGGCCCAAGGCAGAGTAGACCAGGCTTTTCTTTTTTCTTCTTTCTTTTTTTTTTTTCTTTCTCAGTATCACAAGATCTCCCAGATGCAAAACCCTGGTTTTCCATGTGTCCTGGGAAGAGCCCATCGTAGTAACTCCACATCCTGATTGTAACCAACACCCTCAGTGTCTGTTGTGTGCTCAGACGCAAGACTGATGGGCGGTTGCTCCAAGGTGCACAATGCAGGACCCCAGGTCAGCGAAGTCACAAGGTTAGGAGAGCAAGGGACCATAAGGAACTTCACCCACCAGAGTGCTCAATGGCCAGCCACTTCCCTAGAATCAAAGGCTTTTTTTTCTTCCAGTGATTCTAACCAGCAGCCAGACTTGAGAATCCAGCACAAGTATGTTCATACTTGCCACACAGTAGTAGTCTGTGCCTGACACCGTGCAGACATTCTAATCAATCAGAGTCCTTCCTGTTCATCCAAGAGTAGCCTCAGACCTCTCACTTTATAGAGCTTCAAGTATCAATCCGATTTGTAAGGATAAAGTTGATTTGCTATCCCAGAACTAGCTTGGTCTCCCCACACTGGTTTTAAAAAACATGGGGGAAATTTGAGCTCAGAAAGGAGTGATTTGGTCAAAGTCTACCCCTCAAGAGTGGGACCACACTGACTCAAAAAGTTCCACTTTGTCCTTTGTATTTTTCTCTTGTGGTGGCTCATGCTAGTGAAACACACTACCACTGAGCTACAATGCCCCTGCCAGGATATCCTTAATGAAAGAATGCCTTCCAGGTACCATCTGTTAGTCTAAAACTGGAGCAGGGCCACCCAGGCTCCCTAAAGCCAGTGTTCCTGCTCTTCGGGCTGTGTGCTGTCCCTTAGGAAGGTGCAATTCTCCGGGTTACTGAGTGACTGGTCCCCTGGCTTGTGCAGTACTTGACCTTCAGGGCTATCCTTAGTAGCCTTCCTGCATGCTGCCCTCTCAAACGACCAGGCTCCCACCAGTGTAACCAATAATAGTAACAACAATAATATCTAACATTCATCAGCATTCGCCACAGGCCAGACTCCATGTTGTGTGCTTTCCGTGAATTAACTCAGTTAACCCACAGCCTGTGTCACTGATGTGGACTCTGAGGTTAGGTAACATCCATGTGTGGGGGTTGTAGGTGTGCACTATCGTGCCTGGTTTGTGCAGTGCTGGCGTTAGAACCCAGGGCTTCGAGTCATCCGGAACTGAGAGGGGTCAGAACCTGCAGGTATACCTGCCGTCTGGGGTGCCTCCCTGCTCAGCAGGACCTGGCTTGAAGACCCCACCCTAATGCCCCACATGCACAATGGCCTCTGACCCAACCTGGTACTGCTTTGTTGTTAGAGTATAGTGTTCCCCTACTCATAGTTCCCTGAGCTGTGGACCTGAGCGCCAGCTCCACTCCAGCAGGGAGAGGCATGTGGCACCCAACCCTAACAGATGAATCAGCAAGTTGCCTGAGCTGCCCACCTCTGGCACTCTGTGACGAAGGCCTACTGCTGTTGGCTCTGCAAACCCAGACAAGGGCTGGCTGCACTGTGGATTCTCGGCCTTTGGGGATGGGGGAGGGGCCGTACGGGAGATTAAAAGCAGATGCTCATGTGTGCTGGACATGCGCTGTACTACCAAATTTCATTGCCCAGGACTCTTTTCAGTCTTTTATTCTGAGATAGGGACTCAGTAAGTTACCTAGGCTGCTCTTGAACTTGAGGTCCTCCTGCCTCATACTCTCTGGTAGCTGGTATTACAAGCATGCTCCAACAAGCCTGGCTTCCAACCATTATGGTTTTTTGAACACTCCCAACTTACACTTTAACAAATGAGACCTCACAGAGCCCCCCAATCCCCCCACAACCCTCTCTATTATGGCAAATGACTCTTAAAGTTCTTTCAACTTGGACTCCCACCACCACCACCAGGCGGGGTCCCTCTGTCCTGTTTTCCAGTGGGTAAAAACTTGGTAAAAGATGGCTAAAGAAGTTTGCACTATACAACAGTTCCTTGTGAGCATTAAAAAATAGCCCCAGTAGCTAGGTGGTGGCTCACACCTTTAATTCCTGCACTCAGGAGGCAGAAGCAAACAGAACTCTGAGTTTGAGGCCAGCCTAGTCTACAGCGCAAGTTCTGGGACAGATAGTACTACGCAGAAAAACAATCTCAAAAAACTGGGGAAGGAAAAAAAAA